TTTATTTTACTAGAGAAAAAAATTATCTCGAAACTTCTTCTTGAAATACTACTTTTCTTGAAATAATCTGGCCGTCATAAAATTTTCAAAACTTCTCATTTAATTTGCTTCCAGATTTTACTTAAATGTTCTAAATTAAATTATTTAAATTTAAAAATATAGAATACGATTATTTTAATATCTCAACTTATTTGATTTTTCACAAACACTTAAAGTTGATTTTTCCTTCATAAAGACAACACAAATTTTCAAAATGAAACCATTTCTATAAACATTAGAATTTTCAAAAAATCGTACAATTTAAATAATATATTTTAATTTATAAATAAAAAAGAAATTTTGATTTCCGAGATCTCAGTGCTTTCCGAAATGAGTGACCAATCATTGGTGACTGACGGAAGAAATTTCAGGAATATTCAGTTACTCCACTATTTTTCAATATTTTCACTTTAAAAAAATGCGAAATAAAGTTAAAAATTACATTTATAATCTATAAAAAGATCTAAACTTTTCATTTATTATTTATTTATGAAAAGAAATCCCAAACTTTACTTATTTTTTAATAGGATCAGGGTGATGTGCCCCTTAACTAACATTGAAAACTTAATATAACATTATGCAAAAAGTTCAAATTTCATTAAAAAAACATTTTTCTTTAGAAAACCATAATTGTAACAATTAATAGTAAAATTATAATGACAAAAATTATAATTTTATTCTTTCTTCCATGATATTATTGTAATGTTCATCAGTCATCCTTATGAAAGTATCATTGGTGAAAATATAAATTGGATCCTTAACCTGCAAAATTTTTTATTTTTATAACTATTTATATCATAACTTTTATTTTAACATTAAAACAGAGAAGAAAAAACTTACTTTTTTAATATCAAAAGCATCACGTTGGAGATCCTTCTTTTTCAATTTAAATGTTCCTGTGCACAAACAAAATAAATTATATTATTGCAAATACAATTTAGCCCTTTAATTAAACATCAATAATAAATTTAGATTCATTCTTTATATTCCGTACCAGTCATTGGTAATTCTGATAAAATACGAATAAAACGAGGTATGGCATAGGTCGGCAAAACTTTTTTCAATTTTCCTGCTAGTTCTTTCATATCTATGGAATTTTCCGGATCGTATACAGCCGCCATTCCTGCTTTACCTTCATTTCCAGGAACCTAAACACATAATTATATATAATAAGATATACTTATCAATAATATTTTCTATAATATATAATTCATATAATTATTAAAATATATGAATTATGTTCAATATTTTATTTTTTATTTTTTATTTTATTTCTATATCAATATCCAATTTTTTAGACAGTTTTAGAAAGATATACAGTTTGTAAAAAAAAATTTAGCTAAATCAAACGTTGTTAAATATTGAAATAAGATATAATTATTTATTTTTATAATTATATGATAAACCGATTCTGCTCAAAAAA